TAATATTGGAAATTTATAAAGCGCAAAACATATCAACCATAAAGGTGCTCAAGGCACTTGGTACCAATAAGCAAAAGACAACAGAATTCATATGAAATAAGAGCAAACTGAATGGAACAAGAGCAGACAAATACAATTAAACTGTAACGAGCAGAAGTAGTTAATTGAAGGCTAACGTCATGAAGTGAGTTTTAAAAGATGTTTTGAAGACATGGTCAGGGGAAAAATCAATGACAGTTCTTACTGATTTTGAAAGTGCAAGATTTGGTAAAGATTTGAAAAGGAGCTCTGGCGCCAGGGAGGGACAGGGTACCAATCTCCTTTGTTTGCTCATATCACAATGGACAGCTTGAGACAATGCCTATGCAGACTACAGTATGGAAATGACTCATGCTCCAGGGTTGTTACAAGAAAGATAATTTCTTCAATAAACTCACTGGCGTTGGTTTTCAGGGAGACTTTATCGCTCTCCAGGTCGGTGTTGATCGTCACGATGTCAAACTGGTAGGCCCTGCCGGGAATCAAACCGCCAAACTCTGCCTTGGTTGTCTTGGCGTCCGTGATGATGACCTCGGAGGCCGGCGCATCCGGCGGGTCACAGGTCACCCGGTAACCCGTGACCTTTCCGGAGGTGGGTGGCTTCCAGGAGATGGTGATGCTGTCTGTCTTACTCGCGGCAGATTCAGATGTTACTGGATTGGGTGCTGCAAAGACAGAAGTTAACAAAGCAGCGTCATTAATTGCAACACAGCCTGAATGCATGCTACTCAATACTTTTTCTAGAAGTCACAGTTCAAACTGGGAGAAAAGCAGACTTGTAACTGAGCTCATCACAAGCCTATCAAAGGTTGTACAACTGGTCAATCTTACAAATTACAAGTCACTCTGAAGTCAATCACAAGGTAATTGCGAGTCTAATGACTTTTTGATCGCGAGTCAAATTGTAAGGAAATTACAAGAGAATCGCGAGTCCATCACACATCAGATCACAGGTCCATCTCAAGGCCATCAGAGGCCAGTCACAAGTCGTTCACGCCTCGTACGTCCGAGATGCACACAATCACTTCAGACCAGTGCATCCTTTCAAGAACTTTTCCCCTTCCGAATGAAGAAGTGGCAGGTTTTTTTTTTTTCGCACGCAACACGGCTTCATCTTACCTGATGTTGGTTTAGCCGGTGTCAAGTCTCTCTCTATCTTCTGATCGTCCTGCCCCGCATCCAACCACCTGCAAAAGAAGACACAGGAATTGTTGGCTGGACCAAAGTGACTTCTTGTCACTTGTAACTCTGTTTCATGTGCAAGCACTCCCTCAACTGTGAACACGTAAGAGGTTGGGCTGATATTTAAATTCTGTTACTACTCATCAGATCAAAATAAGTTGTGCATGCTTCATGCTGCAAGCATGCAAACACCCCAGCAAAAACGCCCTCCACTGTTTATGCATAAATTCATTAGGAAGAGCAAAACTTCAGACTGGATCAACACCAACAATCAGAAAAACACTCTGCACAGCTCACTTTTTACAAGGGAAGAGCGTTTCGTTCTTGGCGTTCTTGGATTCCTTGACGACCACCTTCTCCAGGAACCAGCCCTGGCCGGCCTCCTTTCCGTCATGCCCCACGGTGACCCGCTGCAGGCGGCCCAGGTACACGGCCTCGATCTCAAAGACGTCCATCTGGCCAGCCAGGAACTTCCGGTCCTTGTTGTTCTTGGAGCGGACCAGGCGGCGCTTGCCCGAGTCACCATTCTTGCCAGCCAGCTGCAGGTAGACGCTGGCCTCCGTGCCGGCGTTCTCCTCGCTGCTGGTGTACACCTGGACGTAGTATCGGGTCACTGCAAGGCGAGAAGTTTGCGCATTGAATTGAATCTATTTATTGTGATTTAATGTCAACATCCATCGAAATACATTGAAATTTGATGAGGTCTTGCAAGTAATTAAAGACCAGAAAATATGTAACAGCGATTAAAAGATAATTACAAGAAGAACAAATAATAGAAATAACGAACAAACGCCGCTAAAAACTTTTCCACAAAAAAACACTCACACAATTTGTTAAAGATCAACAACTGATTAAAGATTAAAGATTAATTACAGATGGAGATAAGATGAGTAAAACTGTGACTTCATTTATTCAAATAATTCAGCACTTGGATAGAAAATGTCTCATGATGATTTTGGTAACCCATCACCAGAGCCATGTTTAACTTGAAGGCTTTGAAAGAATCTTGCGCAATGAAAATCAATGAAACCCTAATATTTCTCAACCAAACAATGACCGTTTTTATCAGGATGACGATTGTAAACCTTTAATGCATTCTCACAAATATGGGCACAGATTGGCACAGAATCCTAAGCCGTTGGCTGCATCATTAACCCACATATTGTGGATAGTTGCTGCACCAAGGACTGTCGGATTATGTAAGGACGGTACATCACTTTGTGTCGTGCCAAAATCATCGTATGCATCACTGCACGGTGCAACCATCTGCTCGTAACCCTTGCATGCTACACTACGTCTGGCAAGTTGGTATCGACCAACGGTTGAGCTTCTGTAGACTGGTTACTCTGTAAATCAAACAAGGTTCTCACCTGGCAGAGGTTTCTTTCCGGCGACGACAGCCGGCAGCTCCCGCCAGACGTCCAGGTCGTCGTGCTTCTCCGACAGCCAGCGGTCGAAGGCAAACTCCATCTCGGTCAGCTCGTTGAGGTCCAGCATGCGCACCGTCTTCAGGTACCAGCTGGCGTCCTTGGCGGCATTGTCGTGGCCGATGCGGATCTTGTAGAGCTGGCCGATGTCACCAAGATACACCTGCAGTGTGTTCCCCCCAAAACTGGTGTCGGCATATACTGTCCACTTGACATGTACAATGTCAACTGGCAGTGTTATGCTAAAATGGCTTACACGGGACATTCTTGGTGTGATGAGAGCTTTTATTGTATCTGGTTTGCTTTTAGCAATCCACAGATATGCCTCAGTAAGCACGAGCACTCAAAAACCGAGTCGGCACAACTTTCTTGTCTGATCGCTAGACCTAGCTGCAACAAACAGCATGCTACGCCTTAACAGCGTTGGGCACTTTAGAGTGCTGGGGAGCAAACTTTTCTTTTCCCGACAAGTGCTTACCCTGAAATCATGGGTGGTTCCCGGCCGGAAGCCGTTGTCCCCCTTGGGAATCAGCGCCACCTCCGTCTTGTCCTTGTCCCCGTAGGCCACCAGGGTCACCATGGCTGTGGTCCCTGCGGAATTGTCACTGCCCGTGGTCACGTACACCTGCCATTCGTGGGCTGGAATGAGCCAAATAAAACTCAAGGAATCCATGACTGTATCGGAGTGACTCATTGTTGGAATAGTGATGGATGAAAGGTCCTGATCGGAGCACAGAGCTTCAGTTTTTGCATCCAGCTCATCGTAATCAAACAATGTTAAATTCTAGAGTGTCTGAGTTCTGGGTCCAACAGACTCATTCAACAACTAGAATTACAGGCCATTATTCGTGCACATTCAAATGAAAATACATGTATGTCACAAGTTAGGACTTGTAATTTGCATTCATGGACCACAAACGGGCGTCTATATTCTTCTCAACCTAGTCTAAATTTTGACATATGGATTGGAATTTTGTCTTTCTTGCAGCGTATTACGACTCGTCCGACTTACGTTGAATTTCCCGTACTTCTCCCAACTCCAGTTCTCTTTCGATCAGCTTGTCGTCTTGTCCCTCGTCCAACCACCTGAGGCACCATGAAAAGCAAAAGGAATCTCTCACTGTATGCTCCGGTTATGCAGCACTTTAACTCAGCAAAAAATAAATCAGTAGCCTAGTAGTTGGGGTCATGCATTCAATGAAAGGCACTAAAAATATGCAGAGAGACTCCTATGGTTGTAGTTGCTTGCAAACCAGAGGTTAAATATTCTCACTTCTAGTCTGGCTTTTGTCAAAATCACCCTCCAAGGTTTGGGTGTTCTGAATTTAGGTCCATCCCACGTTCAAACTTTATCATTTGCATTTGTACATTCACAGAATTGCGATTTCACCATCCATCAAAGTTGTGTCTGAAATTTCATGTTTTTCTCTTAAATAAGGCCAGTGAAAAGTTGGAAGCCATGGTCTCAAAGTTCAGACAGCACCATTTGATCATCAGGGTTACTACATTTATACTAGCACATGTACCTGTTGCATGGGAACACATATTCCGTTTTAGAAGTCTTGGCCTCCTTGATGACCACCTCGTCCAGGAACCAGCCTGCCCCGGGGCCCTTCCCATCATGCCCCACTACGACCTTGGTTGGGGTCAACACCGTCACGGCCTCCAGCTCAAACATGTCAGTCTGTAACACCCATGTTCATGGTTTGACACAATTAATAGCCAAGTCAGAGAATATCCACCTGTATCAACCTGTATCAACATTTGACACAGGAGTCACCCTCATTTAAATATCTATACATGCAAGAATGCTGGCCAATTGTCAACTGTTTCTTAAACCTATGCAAGGTTTTAAGCCAGAGGGGTGTCTGGGTACGATTTGGGCACACAAGCGAACACAGATGCAAATCTTTGCGCTGTGAATGCGCAAAAGTTGAACACACGTCAACTTCAGCGAAACGTTGCTGCAAATCTTTCGTGATGTCAAATTTGCTTGCATGTTCACCTGTAGTATGACATGGCATGTATAACTTCAGCAACAAACATCAACTCTACTGGCAGATTCAAGGATGATAAAGGACACCACATTTTCAAATGCCAGTGAAAACCGTGGCTCAGATAAGGCACTCTCAACCCATTCAGTCAAAGCATGCGCAAGACTGTGTCAACAATTATGGCTCAACAAAATCGGGGAAGGTTCTTTGGGGGGGGGCGCACGCCTGGTGCTGACCTGTGATTCCTGGAACTTCTCCGCATGGTTGGATTTGATGAGTTGCCTCTTGCCCGTGTCTCCCTTCTCCCCGTAGAGGCAGAGATACACGTTGGCATCAGTCGAGGAGCCCACATCGCTTCCCGTTCTCGCTTGGACGCTGTACTTGTTGACTGACAAAAATAAAATGGGATGGTTGAACCAAAGGCCATGGAGTAATGTTACCAGCATTTCATATCTGAGTGCAAGAAATACCACTTGCCAAGCCTACACACAAAAGTTCAGTACGCTAAGTTAATATTTTGAGTGGAGCAGCAGTTGTCTGGGACAGTCGCAAGTCCAGACTTACTAAGCCTGATTGCATACAACCAGCCGCTTTTTGTCAGCTCACCGAGGAAAACGGGTCTCAATTTATTTCAAACCCTGTTCAAGAGTGACCACTGTCCGGACTACTTTGACAGCACGTCTTGGAATGTCTACAGATGGCACAAAATGCATTCTACCTGTGAACGGTGCAACCAACGACCCTTCCTCTGCCAATTTCTGGTAACCCCCATTTTCCCGCAGGGTAAAAACCATCTTGCGGTGTTCGTCTGATCAAACAGCATCTCTATATGAGACGAGTGAGAACTGCTCGTCCAATGAGTTTCCCTCCCCCGACTCACTCGGCAGTGGTTTCCCGCCAGGTCGGACGGCAGCCGACTCCCGCCACACGTCTGCGTCATCTTCGTTGGGCGACAACCAGCGATTCTTGAATTTGAAGAGCAGTTGCTCTTCTGTTATCATGTCCTTCATTTTGACCTGTGACACCAATCAAATGCAAGATTTAGACCAGGGACAAATTGCCTTCTAGTGTCGCAGTTAAGTGCTTCAAAGTGCTTGGCAAGTGATCAAAATGGCTTCACAAGTGCTCACAAGTCTTGTAAACCCTCAAAAGGTTTTTTTTTTGAAAGGGGGTAAAGGGAGATCGCTTAGTCTACCCATCATTCCTGGATAAAATTAGTCCAGTGACAGTCCAGAGCTGACACACATGTACCTGATCAAGTCTCCAAGCTGCTTTCTTGCTGGTCGTGTCCAGGCCAATCCGAATCTTGTAGATGTCACCCACACTCAGCACGTTGACCTATTGCCAAGAAATCCCACTTGCACATTAAAATGGGAACTCTCCAGAAAAGTAGACTGCAGTTAAATGGCAGAAAAGCGCACAGTTGCACTTTTGGTACAATCTCTGCAGAGTATACGGCTCAATGCTGTCATGTTGGCATAAGCAGCTTCAAACACGTTCACCATCTGTGACCTTACAAGGAACCAAAATGTGTTGTGCTGCGACAAACAAACAGCTAGAAAAAAGTTTTTCAGTGGGACACAAATGCACTGTAACCCACCACGTCTAGACTCGAACTCACGACCCACGGAAACGGCAACAGGGTTGGCTTCGAAGCCCAGGCAGGGCCCCAGTTCGCTCCAAGAACCTTCTCTCACCTTGAACTCGTTCTCCTCTCCTGCCTTGAAGAGTTCCTTGCCTCCTTTGCCGAGGGTGAAGGGCTGTGAGACTCCCTCCTCCCCGTACACCACCAGGACCACCGAAGCCTTGGTGCCCGCCTTGCCCGTTTTCACCCACACCTTCCAGTCCCCATCTGTAAGAAACAAATCCATATGAACGATATGATCTTGCATAATGTATACAGAAATTCCACCAATCAAAGTAGTCAGACTTGTAGACTCGTTCATTATAATACAGGTATGAACAATGTAAAAAAAACAAGTCCGCTAATGTGATTGGCTGCTACCACTTTTGGTAGATGAGCCCATTTCTGAACTGAACTCGTGTAATAAGTGAACACAGAAGAGCGCGAAGCAAGTAACGGCACACGGTCTCGGTATGTATCCAAAGCAGAAACGAAGACGTCACAGAGATCCCGACTTGAGTCAAGTCTAGTCTGGACGTAAGCTCTTGACGGAGGACATGTTATGAATAACCGACCTCTGCAGCCGCAACATTTGCACACCACCTATACACCCGAACCTAACAGGGGAAATGTGAGGCATTAGCGAGGACAGTACTATTGAATGAGTGCTACTATATGAGTCTCCTAAGTGCCGCTGTGCTGCGGGAATTGCAGAGACTGGAGAAAATCAAAACTTTTTAAAGAGCCTTCAGTGAGGGTTGCTTTCCAAGTATTAGAGACAAACCCTCTAATGACGATGCTATGACATGGCAATCATCTCAGGCACTTTCTAAGCAGACTACGAGAAGGAGCAATTTGTGAGCGTTGAGGATGAATTACGCACAGCTAGTCTGTTATCTCGTGACCTGGAAATCATTACGATTCCGTGCAACCTGCCAGGATTACATATGAGGACAAGTACCCGGTACGAGTGAGGACTTCTTGCCAACCACTGGTTGATTTTTCCCGGTAACCAGGGTACATTTTGAGCATAGGTTACCAGGGAAAATCGACCAGTGTCAACACATCGCCTCAGCATGAGCTCGCCCCATGGTGTCACGCTTGTTCCCCAGACCCTGTTTAACAGGTTGTTTCCTTCTATAAAGACTGCCACACTGCCAATCTGTAAGACTGCTGTGTGACACACGTCCACGTATGAGTACGTTGAACCACATAACACCAAGAGTGATTACTTGCTATACAAATGTGCTTGCTATACAAATAAAATGCCAGCATGTCTACAGGCATCAGCAGCTCATAAAACTTGCATTCATTTTCTGCTTGGTGTCTTTACAGGCGAGCACAGCACATTCTTGTCAACTTAATCCATCCCGAGCTGAAGTGCACTCCCAATCAGCGAAAGAAAGACGGGCGATTACAAGCAGGTTCTTGCACACGTTCTGCGTGTACCCAAGGGCTAAACATGCCGTCAGACACGCATGTACCCCCCAAAAGCTCACCCTCTTTTGTTTCACTTGGAGCGGATACGACTGAACAGCTTGCAGTCAGTGAAACCAATATTCCCATTGAGGGGTGTTCTACCCAAGCAAGAGAAATACCAGCGTGCAGGACGTAGGGACCAATTTCTGTGCTTGCTATGCGCCATGAAAGCAAGCATACCGTTGTGCCCGTGCAATGATCCCTCATCGGCTCATGAGCCGATTGGCCGCGGAGTACAAAAGCCGTCAAACAGTTCTGTCCAACGTGTCAGTAAAGTACAGGTTTTCTGTACAACAGATTCTACACTGATTTGGAAGTAACAGGTGTTGGAAGACTGACAGCACAAAGCCACACATACCAAACAACATTAAACACTGTGAATAACCAAGATTTTGTCTTACAAATAACTATCACTAAAGGGTTGTCACAGACAAATCACAGAGAAGTACAGACAAGTTCAGAACTTCCCACAATGAGCAATAAAACATAGGGTAGAATAGCATTATGTTTGGAAAGATAATATTTTGTCTGGAATGCATGTTTGAACACATACATGTAAGTACGTAAGATCTCCTGCATTCCAATAACAAAAACCAATCTCTTCTATTGAAAGAAAGCAGAAAAATTTGGAAGTGTGTCTGAAAAGACAGGTCAGAACTCCTTCGGAAGTGACAAACAGCACAACACACCTAGCACAGAAACTTGAGAAATAACACGTATAATATGAAAAACATGCCAAAGTGACTATTTGTTAGATGTGGAACAATACAGCACAGACATACACGTAGATTGAAATAAACGGCCATGACAAAGTGAAAAACCTTCTAATGCATTGCATATTAGGAGTCAAGTAGATATGCCTCTGTCATGGGCATACTCATGTGCGATGTGCGTAAGGTATTTCAATTATGCTGTGTTTTTTTTTTCTTTCGGTTGGTTAGCTTAGATTTGGTTTGGTTGGGTTGAGTTTGGTTTGGTTGGGTTGAGTTTGGTTTGGTTGGGTTGAGTTTGGTTTGGTTGAGTTTGGTTTGGTTGGGTTGAGTTGGGTTTGGTTGGGTTGAGTTTGGTTTGGTTGGGTTGAGTTTGGTTTGGTTGGGTTGAGTTGG